ATCTCTTCATCCCGAAATTTCCACCTTACCAAATTTCTGACAAAATCCCATTTCCACATCTCCATATCCCCAAAATCCGCAAATCCTTAACTATCCCAATTATCATGCACAAGTTTTCAATAGTTCTACAAAATCCTCCCCCTTTCATCCCGCTTCCTAATACGTTTCTCCTATGGAACTGAGACTTGTTCTGTCCGTTAAAGAGGAGAGACGATAAGTCACATCTTCGATGAAATCTGTCTAAGAAACTCGAGCTGACCAAGGCCGGACAAAGGCGGGGAACATTGTTAATTACACGAGCGTGCTGGTATCGATGCGGCTGCCGTAGGAGTAACCCGACCGAGTGGCCAGCAGTAAAGATGGCATCGTGCACACTAACGAGTAACAAGTGGCGTGACGTTTCAGTTAGGCTTTACTTAGCGACGTGTGTGCGGGACTAAGAAGAAGATATCGGTATGCCACGACCGGCTATCTATCGCCTCACCTTCAGCGGCTAATTAACGCTGAGATTCATTATCGACACCTCGTTGCCTTCGTCGGTCACTGTCTTAATTCAGGGTTCAATATTTTCTTTCGTTTTCCTTTGTCCTCCGCTTACGATACATTCAATGAGCTCATACGAAAGTATGTACCGATTTCGAATAATTTTATACCCGCAGATAAATCTGGAGAGTCGAATTTGCCGAGAGAAAAGTGGAATCGGTAAATGAAACCGAACGAAACTGCTAGAGAACCATCTGTTCCATTATGCAAAACAGAAATTTGTTCGTAGCATGGAGTAACAAATGGTCCTCTCGGATCGAGCCATCATTTGTAAGCCACTGGTTACTTTGCATGTATGCATCTGCAGCCTGTATGCATTAAGTTAGTTACGCTTAAATGCAAATTGACGCGTTAATCGATCTGTTCCTACTTCGGGACCCGATGTATAATGAATCTCCGCGAGGAATCGAGCGTAGACCAGCTGACGTATTGATTGTCTTCGTTAAAAAAAGATTCAATACCTTCTTTTATTCCACCGCTATTACCGACGACAGTCAGCAGGATTCAAACATCGACGTGCCTTTTGATAATAAATGTTCCTAAAAAAATTTCAAAAAAGATGAGTAAGAACATTTACAAATTCAAGACGTCTTTTTAGTAACGTAAAATTAACCCCGTTTTCAAAAATATGTATAATACTCATGGCTACGAAATTTTAGTTGATTAAAGCAGATCTAAAATTTATTTTATGTATAATAGTTTATTGTAGAGAATACTATGTAACAATTTACAGAGAATAAATTAACTTATTTTAACTCAAATTGACGTCCAAATTTATCTCTGAAAAATCAGACCCCATCTTTATAACATCATCTCAAATATTCAATTCTCTCGAGAAACCATGTATGACCAAATTTCATTATTTTCGAATTATTACTTGATGTAGATCCCATTTCCGGGTTGTCACCGATCACCCTGCGAGATATGAAAAACCAATCACCGATATCTCCTTTCTCCCATAATTTATATTCAGAATTTTTATTTCGTAGAAAATTAGTAATCACTCGACATAATATCTGCACAAGAAATTTTCTTTCGTTTTTCTCTTTGAATTCTTTGGTCGAACAAGTCAAAGATTTTAGCGATTAACTTGAAGTTCGAGCTATGAAGATTTGACAGTGCTTTTACAATGAAAACTGTTGTCCGTTAAGGAACTTTTATCTTGCACATTTCTCACGACTGTGCCGGGTCAAGTGCACAGCGATCGAAGTTCAACCAATCCTTTCTCATACCATCGAGACTATTACATTGTGAGCAAAATGATGAGAAATCCCTTGAGCATCCGTTCAAGATTCTATGGTATAACAGTATCCAGAAGGTAGGTGTTCACCTGACATCGATGCTGAATTTTCGCCCGGGGCTGATCGACGAACTAGTCACAGTAAATTTGATTCGATCGTGACCGATACCGCAGCGGTAGTAGCTTTCAATTCTCATACTTATTTATGCTTGAAAATCGAAACGTCCTGTCTTGATTGCTCGAATCGAATTTCGAGCAAAATTCAATCGTTGAATGATGAATGGCATCAACTGGATTACAGACATTTTGTTACACTGTCGGTAAAGGGTTCGAGATCGCGTGATGTGACATTGTTCAGGAAGTTTCATCCAATGTTATTGGGAATTTTATTCATTATTTTGTAACAGTAACAGTAAAATATATAATATTTTAGTTATAAAATAATTTTAAAAGTTTCACGTTTGTAAAATTATGGACTACTAATAAAATCAGTTTCTTTGAATAAAATATTTATGCATCTCAATCAATCAACGTGAATGCACTGTCCTTTTATATTTAAGATACAGTATTGCTATATAAATAAGAAAATATTTAATGCATTTTACTTTCTTTAAGAATTCTTATTTATTTATGCATTATATGTAAATTGATTGCTTCTACAATTACGAAATTACACTATGAATTAACGTTTGAAAAACTAAACAAGAAAATATAGTGGAAATCTTCTGAATGATAAAATAGTTCTTGTACGAAAAAGTAGGAATCTTCTATGCGACAAGTAAGGAATCTATATTCACAAAATCTGCTTTCCAAATGATACTACTAGTACCATCTAGGAGCGAACAGATGATCTCTCTCATAAGAATGTTTCTTGTAGTTTTCAAAATAGAATTTCTATCCAGAAATAATTAAACACATAAGCAAATTTTCAAATTTCAAAATTTCTGCGTTGCTAAAATTTTTTTTTCTGGTTTTTCTTCGGGAAATGGTCATGGTCCAAATTACGTCAAATTTTGCAAATAAGAACTTTTTAAAGAAAGGAAACATCTATGAGAATGGTTTTTGTCGATTCAAAACAAAATTTTTTACCTTTTTTATATCGTTCTCTACCTTACCGATGAATGTTTACGAAAATGGAACAAGTTATACCATCTCTCGATAAACAGGGTAAAATTATATTCTGTTGTATCATCTAGCGGTAGAAGATGAGAACTAATTAAGCTGCAGTTTCATACGCGTGTAGTTCACCCTGTTCGCCATAGAAATTTCGCCACTTGTGCCATTTTTAAAAAAATTCACTTAATATATATTTTATTGAACAATATGCTATATATTTATTAACATTAGATTAAATAAGTTGAATATTAAATTAAATGCATAATTTTATTTCATTAAATGTACAATTTTTAATAACACATAAATTTAAGAATAATAAATTATAAATACTTCTAAATTGAAGTCTGTCACACTTTTTATTAAAACATACAAATTGCATATAACTTAAAAATTATTTGGTATGAGTAGGTTATATAAATCACTGAAGTCATATTTTTTTATTACCCTAACGCAAATTTTTTTTTATTTCTTTTCATCCTGTCTTTATTATTACGTAACCTTAAATTACTAACAAATACAGCACTCATAGTTGAAAGCTTGTCAAATTTTTTTAATATGTACAAATTTATTAATTTATTAACATATACAAATCTTACAATACTAACTATATTCTAAGGGACCTAACACGTCTCAAATTTGTCGGAGGTATTCGAGCTCTGGATTTCGAAGAAGTTCGAAATTTACCAGAACCTCCGAATAACACAGCTGTATCCACTCTGACAGGAGGATATCGGACGTCTTCGGAAGTTCGTACCTTCCTAATCGCCCTAATCTTCGTATCAGAAGGAACAGGACCCACAAAATCCTCCAACTCTTCTCTCTTCTTCGCGTCGATATGCAGTCTCGCCGTATTCCTTATTTTCCGATCTGAGCTGCATATCGTCAGCCACTTCCTGGAAACCTGCGCAGCAGACAACAAAGACTCAGGATCTAACTTGCGCAGGATCAGCTGAGACACCTCCAACGGAAGTTCGGTAATGAAGTCCCTCTTGGCGGGTTGCAGCAGTCCAATAGCGCGGAGAAAGAACCTGAAGAACTCCATGTTGCTTCTACCTTTGCAAAAGGACGAATGTAGCACGTGGGCAAAATTTGGGGTTTATATACCCATTGTCACGGTTGACCGCGTGTCACGGTTGATCACCCGTCACGGTTCGGTGGTTCGACCAATCAGAAATGAGATCGGGGCTGACGTAATCATATAGGTTTATTACAATTAGCTTATTTATTTTGGAAAATGAAATATTTAAAATTACAAAGTGTAATATTTGATAAAGACTTAGATAATCCTCTTCTGTGTCTTCAGGTTTACTTTCTTAGCCAGTGTCCTTTGTTCTTGTAAGACTACCTGTTGCGTCGATATTTCAGAACCGTGCAGATCAGTATGTTAGCGGATGATCAATTATTATCACCGGAGTACTTTTACCCAGGGATATTTTATCACAAGTTTGGTTACCGCATAGTTACAGAGACTAACGTCCAGCGCGAATAGTCAAGAGCGAACCTTTTTGCGTCCACACTTCCATCAGGTTAAATAGTCCCAAATCCGACGAGGACAGCTAACACGCCTAAAAGTGCGGCAGATCCTTGAAAGAAAGTGGGAATTCTCAGAAAAATTGGGAATCTCCATCATAAAATTATTTGGGAAAAATCCAAACCTTCTTAAGACAGACTTCTTCTTCTTATCCTAACCCTATGAGTTGAGACCTAACGCCGATGAGTTGAGACCTAAAAACTGAATGTGTACTTTCGTACGTAGTGGTGAAGCCAACATCACAGAACTTTGTGAACTCCACATGTCATACATGCTTCACACATGATCGTCATAAAATTTCTTCATCTACTTTACATCTGCAACGCATTATCATAAAATTCCTTATTTATCCTCAGTGGGTACGAAAACATCAGCATCGTCGACCGAGAAAAGAATCGATCTACGGGGTTGACGCAAGCGCCCTAAAAAAGAGCATACGCCGCGCCCCTGCTTAGAGACGAGAATGCTGGTAAATTTGACCAAAACAAACCAGTGAGCATGGACATTAAGTAGGTTTTAGGGAACCGTTGCTCTTCTCTTTCCTTTCACACCACTCATCGATAGCAATTTAGTCGACATGAGTCCTGGTCTCGGACACGATCCTCTTCCTTCGTACAACATCACCGCACTAGGTAAAACAAGCTGCGATCATTTTTTTCTTACAACCTTCTTTACATCCGGTGTTTGCATAATAACTAGTTGTCAAACGTGTCGTTGCTTTCAGGTAACACCGCGCTATGTCTGTGGCAGCAACCGCAACACATACTCTTTCAATTAGCAAATTTTTGCTTCGCCCTGTCGTATTCGGCACCCTCCTCGAGAAAGGGGATATTATTTATGCATTCTGTGCTGATAATCGGTAAGTGGATCTATCTTTTGTGCTTCTGATTTAACTGATAAGTGAGCGGTAGTACATATAACATGTTAATACTAAATAACGAAGTAAGTGGTTTTTGTAAGTGTCATGAGTACACGATGAGAAACACTGTGTTTTTCAATTTTTCTCTTATCTGTACATATTCTAATATTTTTATGGGATTGCATAATTAGCTGTTTATCAGGTAAGGGGTAGTATTGCAAACTTGTGAAACTATGGAGAGAATATGTTAATTTTTACTTAGGTAATTATATACGTGAGCAATTACCCAGTACTGCGATCTTACAAATATATTTCAAGGTTATTTAAACAGGCAAAGTGTGCGCCTTTTTCTAAATAATTACTGCATTAAAAAGATTTTTGCAAGTACTTCTAAAAGTCTAGCAGTGTTTAGCAGTGGTTGAATGCAGAAAGAAAAGTTGTTCAAAATGGCATTCTTGGACCCATCTTTCAAAGTCGTCGAAGTCAGTCAAACGTGAACCTTTTTCTTAACAATTTTTACGTTATAAAGATTGTTACAAATATTTCAGAAACCAAAATCAATTACCAGTTTTTCAAGAACGTTATAATAAAATTCTGAATTGTTTTCTGTTTCAGGATTCATGTTGTTGTCCGGCTGGGCATGGCACGTGATATGCGCGCCAGACATATTCTCATGGAACTTCAGCTTCTTGTTGCTGAATATCGGACAGTTGGTTTACATAGTTTATCAAATGAGACCCGTTCGATTCGACCCCGAATTAGAAGAGGCTTATCACACACTGTTTTACCCTTTTAAGGTGAGCGCTTTGTCAAGATCCTAATCAATTTTATGAGTTTATATATGCGATTACCATACATCACGCGACACACTGTTCGTAATCTTTCGCGTGTTTCTGGATATCAAGTGATCGTATATTAGATTAGTTAGCACGGTACTAATTCAGAATTCGTAAAACACTGCAGCCCGCTGTAGCTATAATTGGAATAGAACGTGATGTATTTGGCGTGCGAAATTAAATCGTGTGTGTACGAAGGAGAGGAAACTTATTTCTATTCATCGTACAGATTTCTGAGAAAGATTGCGTATCTCTAATCGGCGGTACAATTAGGTTGAGAAAATTGAGAATAAGATAAAGCGATGCATTAAGATTGTACCTTAACAATTTCATGGCCGGTGATTAGCGTATGAGCTTTTACACGCTATCCTCTATTTATTATACATATCTGCTGAACATAATTTATAATTTAAGGGTGACATAAAATTAATTGCTCTGTAAATATAATTCTGTTTATAATTCTTTTTGTTCCAAATATGAGATACCTAGAGAAACCTTGTTATAAATGGTGACAACAAGATACACTATTTTAGTACTTTATTAAAAATCAATGAATATATAATTTCATAATTAGCTGAATATCTACAGATTTGTTAAATAAGTTTTCAGGAGTAAAACATTTAAGACTTCACAGTATTTTATTTTTTGCTATTTTTACAATGACAATGTCGATGAATAGGTATCTCGACTGCAATTCAAGAGGTTGGTGTCTCCAGAATTCGCATCGATAATGTCGTTACACACCGGTGAAGCATATGCGATGCAAAATTTAACGAGAACTGACAGACTGGGTCTGTTGCTTAGTGGTAAAGTGAACGTACTCAGCGACTCGAATTTTCTGCATCTTATATTGCCTTGCGAGTTTTTGGATTCGCCGGAATTCGAGAGTTCTCGAGCATCTGTTGACGATAAATTTAAGGTAAATATTATGCTTCTTGATCTCTGAAGATTTCAAACTGCATAAAGAAAACTTCAAATTTTTAACTTTGTAAATTTCAAATTTTCAAATTTGTTAACTTCAAATTTTCAAATTTGTAAATTTTAAATTTTCAAATTTTTAGATTACTTGAATATTTAGATAAAGTGTTCTTTTCACGTTAAAAGTAATTGTATATGCTAATTTTTATGGTCTCTCCTGTATTTGCATAATCCACTTTACTTTCAATGTAAAAATAAATATGCATTGTAGTTTTCATGTTAAAATATTATTGTACTAAATAATTGTTTTTTTTTTGCGGTTAGGTGTCGATCGTTGCGGCAAGTTCGTGTAGATATTTATACTGGCAAAGATCTGCATTGGAATATTTGCTCGTTAAAGAAGCATATCTAGCTACAGTTTTAACAACATTAGTTGCGAGGGATATCGCTACTAAATTATACGCTATGAATAATAAGGTAATTGCATAAAATTCTGTATTTAATCAAGTCTCTTTATCACTATTAGTATCGTAATAATTTTTTCATTTCATTATAAAGTAATTTGAATAATTTTTCAGCAGCATGGTTGTCTAATTTTGTAAATACTCAACTAGTTCAATTCAACTGGTTCTCTAGTTTCTGCAAATTATCTTTTTAATTTAAGATCTTGTTAGATTGTTACAGATAAAGGTTCACATTTGGATATAAGGCTTCCAACAATTAGCGCTGGATTATCCATAAGTGGCGAATATAGGAGTCCAAGAGCATCCAGGCAGGCACTGATCCGTCGAAAAGAAACGACTTTAACTTCTGATAATGGTAATTTCTCTTGTATTAATTTATAAGATAAATCTTGTCGTAAAGTGTTCAAGAACTTGTGTGTTCACAATATGATGTATCATAATTTCCAGATTTCAAACTCTTTTCCGTCACAGACTTAATACACTGAATCTAATAACAACATCTATTTGAAAATTCATAATGAAGTAAACTACTCTATTCGAATAGTTTTAAAATTATTATAATGTTTTATTCAAACAATTTCAAGCTGTATAAAAGCAGAATAATTCTAAATACCACTAAAATTTAATCATTAACTGTTCTTTCAAAAATAACGAATTAAAAAATAATTTTATCATGAAGCAACAGTTAACGTATTAAGCTCAATTAGAAAACCATGCAAATTAAAAGTATAACATTTTATGAAATAATTTTCAGGATGCGTGAAAGATCGTCCAGCGAATAATCTATCGAAGAAGGGAGCCCCAAATATGGAACCTTTACCAGAAATGCCATCTTGCGATGATTTAGCGTCCAGTGGCGTAGAAAGTTGGTTGGATTCATCGAGCAAGTATCACAGTTGCGAAATTGTTGACGAAGAATAACAGGAGGCCTCCTTAACGCCGGACACATTTTACGAAGGAGACAGCGATTAGTGTCCGCGTTAAGGATTTTCATCATTTTTGAGAAGAAGACTGCAGTTTTTTTTTAAATTGAACGACAAGACAGTCGTTCAGTCGACGAGAATGCACTTTTAAACGGTATCCGAAAGTGTTACGCAAGGCTGATTGTTATATCGTTGCATAATAATTGATGCTATTATTTATAGTAATGTATTTAAAATATCTTGTTGTTTACCATGTCAGAGTGATTAGAAATTTTGGTAATTATGGTAGATTGTTTTGTGTACGTACTTAATGGTGTCGGTACTCTTTTACGGTTGTTATGGTTATTATTCTTTTGAAGTGAAGTTTTTCAAATTAATTATTTACCAAGGATCCAAATTTTTGAATAATCGAATCCTTGTATTTTTGAACTTCTACATTCTCAAATTTGAAAATTTCCAAATTTCCAAATTCTCAAATTCTTAAATTTCTATGTTCTCAAATTCCTATATTTTCAAGTTCTCAAATCCCCAAATTCCACAAATTCCCAAATTTCCAAATTCCCAAATTCCCAAATTCCCAAATTCTCAAATACTCCAATTCCAAATCTCCCAATTCCACAAATTCCCTAATTCTCAAATCCCCCAATTTCACAAATTCCCAAATTCTCAAATCCCCCAATTCCACAAATTCCCAAATTCTCAAATCCCCCAATTACACAAATTCTCAAAACCCTCAATTCTGAAATTCCCAAATTCTCAAATCCCCCAATTCCACAAATTCCCAAATTCTCAAATCCCCCAATTCTGAAATTCCCAAATTCTCAAGTTTCAAATCCTCAAAGCAGAAAATATTAAAATTTGATAATATTTAAATTTCCAGGTCTTCCAATTCCTGAACTTTTGAGTTCCAAAATTTCCAACTCTCTAAACATCCAAATCCCACAATTTCTAATTTTCTAAATTCCTATGCACAATATTGAACAGTACATTGTATGTAAAGTACAATTTCGTTTAGCAACAAGTTTTTAATCAACAATTGAAGTATTATTTAAAAAACAACGATTGCTAAGTAAGCAGAAACGTTCTGCTTTATAGAGAAAGTACGTTGATAAACAATTATAAATTATCATTTTTCAAGTAGACATACTGGTGCTAGAAATGTTTGAATTAATTAACAGCGTCGATGACGATACATTAGAGAAATGAATTTGTCAGTAGTATAAGTCAACGCGTAACAGGAGCAGGAGAGTGAGCCAACCATAACGCAGACACAGTTTCCAAATCATGGTTCAGAATATGTTTGGAAAACAGAACGTCTGAGAAACTCAGGTACACTGTTCAAAACTTCATCAAATGTATTCTTATCATTTATTGAACGTGATAGAACGATTTCGCTTAATTTTATGCCGAATTATCGAGAAGCGACTTCTCGTGAATTAAAGGGTAGAAATTTATGATAGTGTATGCGAAAATAGATATCGTTGATTTGTTAAACATGGGGTGTTTCATAATGTGGGGATATGGTAAAAGTAAATAAAAATTATGGGAATGGGTGTATGAATTGACTTTGCTTACAAGTTATGGTTATTTTTGACAGGACTGGTTCTACAAGTTTTGAAGTCTATACAACTTAATCTAATTCAAGTATTTATATTTCTAAGTTTTGTAATTGTCAGATAAAGTCATTGAATTAGTAAATTATTAGTTCTTTAAATTTTCAGATATAAGATTCACAATTTTTCAATTTTTCAGTTTTTCAGTTTTTCAGTTTTTCAGTTTTTCAATTCTTCCATTCTTCAATACTTCAATTCTTCAATTCTTTCATTCTTCAATTCTTTTATTCTTTCATTCTTCAATTCTTCAATTCTTCACTTCTTCACTTCTTCACTTCTTCATTTCTTCAATTCTTCAATTCTTCAATTCCTCATTCCTCAATTTTTCAATTCCTCATTCCTCAATTTTTCATATCATCAATGCTACAATTCCTCAATTTCTGCATTATTCAATTCTTAAATTCCTCAGTTGTTGAATTTTTCAATTCCTAAATTCCTCAGTTGTTGAACTTTTCAATTTTTCAATTGTTTAATTTTTGAAGTTCGCAAATGCCTAATATTTCAAACTATCGGATTTTCATATATTTCAGTTTCTAAATTATGAAGTTTCCAAATTTCTAAATTTTGTTGTCTTATAAAGTTGATCCTACACACTATGAAACACCATGTATGTTAATTCCACATGTCGCTAAATAAACGCCCGAAAAGTGCTCTTGAAGCAACCGAAGTTACAAGTGCTACTTGCGAGAAAAGTGCTTACGCAACAAGGTATCTAATGTCAACAAATCGTGTAACTAGGGAATCGTCGCACTCTACGCATAATTTTATCAATATTGTAAAGCGAATATATCGAACGGAGCTCGTTTACGATATTATAGAGCAGTGTTTCCCAACTTCGACTGAATCATGACTCTTATAGCAGTCAAACGAATTCTACCATACTGGTACCAAAATATCAACATTAAGACTATTATTAAAAACATATTTCATGGAATTATCATAGGGAAAATGTACTACTTAATTTAATTAAAAAATGACTTAAAAGTTTAAAAATTTTCAAATTTAAATGACTTAAAGGTTCCCAAATTTTTAAATTTAAATAACTTAAAAATTTCCAAATTCCTAAATTTAAATGACTTAAAATTTTCCAAATTTTGAAATATAAATGACTTAAAGGTTTCCAAATTATTAAATTTAAATCACTTAAAAATTTAAATGACTTGAAAATTTCTTTAAAATTTCTTAAATTAAAAAATTTTGGAATTGCAAAGTACGAAAGTTCCAAATTTTAAAGATCGAAAATTATTTCGATTTGGGAGTCATGATCCACACATTGGGAATTCAGGCCTCAGAGAAATAATGCACGAAATTATTTTATAAAGTTTTATACCGTAAAGCTTCCATAGATTATTGTAACAAACTGTACTTTCTTCTTTTCATGTATATATTGTACATTGTATATCATGAACATTCTTTGTTTTTTATAAACACGTTGACTTATTCGTTCGTGGATACATGTATTGATAGTATTCATATTATAAAGGTTTCAATGTATCATTGTATTACATATATTAGGTGAAAGATCGTTAATAAAAAATTGTTTCAATGAAAAATTACGTGATACTTCGAGCACAAAATTGCTTCGTATTTTATAATGCACAAATTTATAGGACGCATCGTAGTCTTTCCGTTAGGTATTGTATAATACAACGTGTATAGCTATGTATATGAAATTTTTAAAGGAATTGCGTAAGTGTTTGTGAGAAGTATTTTATTATGGAGCGGTAGGAGATGAGAGTGTTATTTATTTGTTACGGATGTTTATGCAAATATATTGTTTTTCCTAAATTTTCAAGTCCTTAAATTTTCAAATTCCTAATTTCCCAAATTTCCATACTCATAAATTTCCAAATTCTTACTTTCCCAAATTTTCAATTCCCTGAATTCTCAAATTCCTAATTCTCCAAATTTCCATATCCCTAAATTTCCAAATTCTCAAATTCCTAATTCCCCAAATTTCCATGTCCCTAAATTCCCAAATTCCTAATTTCCCAGGTTTACAATTTCCCAAATTTCCAATTGACCAAATTCTCAAATTCCAAATTTTCCAAATTTCCATATCTCTAAATTTCCAAACTCTCAAATTCCTAATTCCCCAAATTTCTATGTCCCTAAACTTCCAAATTTCTAATTTCCCAAGTTTACAATTTCCCAAATTTCCAATTTCCCAAATACTCAAGTTCTAAATTCTCCAAATTTCCATATCCCTAAATTCCTAAATTCTCAAATTCCTAATTCCTCAAATTTCCATGTCCCTAAATTCCCAAATTCCTAATTTCCTAAATTTCCAATTTCCTAAATTCCCAAATTTCTAATTTCCCAAGTTTCCAATTCCCCAAATTCTCAAATTCCAAATTCCCCAAATTTCCATGTCCCTAAATTCCCAAATTTCTAATTTTCGAAGTTTTCAATTTCCCAAATTTCCAACTCCCCAAATTCTCAAATTCCTAATTCCTCAAATTTCCATGTCCCTAAATTCCCAAATTTCCAATTTCCTAAATTTCCAAATTCCTAATTTCCCAACTTCTCAATTACCTCAACTCTCAAATTCCAACTTCCCAAATTTCTAATCAAACTTCCATAAATTTTCCTAAAAAAAAAATTTCCACACTTCCAAATCCTCAAACTTCCAAGTATTTTTATAATTCACCACAACAAAATCTTTCTGTACCTAATTTCAAATACCACACAGTATATACCGATGAAGAGGCACGTTTATAATATACATACATAATTTACATAATTTCTGCACAATGTGGTACGCTTTAAATGCATAAACATCCGCAATCTGATTATTTATACTGGTTTATCTCTAAGTAATAATTAAACGTTCCGAAATATTTCCTGAGTATTATAGTTTACCAAATTACGCAGATAAGAATACATTTTCGATAAAAAATCAATTCAACTTTCTACCATATTTTTTTGGTACAAAGCATCGTTACGTTGGTTGTTGAAATTTTTATTCGCGAGACTATGTTACAGTTTGAGCTGGGTGTTTGCGATTTTTATCATAAAACAACAACTGATAATAGCAGGGTCTGGTGTATATACTATATGTTGTTAACTTTGCACTGTAGTATCAAACCGATGGCAATACGAATACTCGATCGAGATAGTTTGTAGCGTTGAAATACGTGTTTTGTACAGATTTAAATTACTGTTTTCCTTGTTGTTAATGAATACAATGGACGAAATGGAAAGTTTGCACGAAACTCTGTTCCATTCATTTCACTATACATTTATTCTTCTTTTACCTGTTCTTTCAGTGGCTTTCATTTTCAACTTAGCAAATTGTATTTGTGTATAAATCACCTGTTTATGTATTCTTTTTTTAATTAAATTCTAATTGAAATTTTATCCTACACTTCATTCGTGATTAAAGATATATTGTATTATTAATTTTACATATTTTTTACCCTTGTGAATTATGATAATTTTAAATGTTGACAACAGCAAACTAATTTCATTTTTCATATTTAAAATAGAAGTTTTATAAATACAAAGTTTAAAGTAATTTTTATTTGAATAATTATGAATTTATTTTGTTAATTTATTCAATTACGAATATGTGGAGTATTGTAATTTATAAATAGTCTACTATTTTTATGTATCTTAAAATTATCCTTGCTAATATTATTTCATTGTTAAAAACGGGGTAAAAATACAGGACCTGACCAGGAAAAATTAAAATCCATTTATATGTTACAACATTCAGGGAGAAGA